CTGCACTGCTGGTGGGAATGCAAACTAGTACAACCACTATGGAAAACTGTTGGAGGTTCCTCAAACTGCTAAAAATGGAGCTTCCATATGACTCGGCAATCCCACTCTTAGGCATCTACCCAAAAGACACAAAAACACAGATTCAAAAAGATACCTGCACCCCCATGTTTATTGCTGCTTTATTTACAATTTGAAAGACATGGAAACAACCCAAATGCCCAAAAGTAGGTGACTGGATTAAAAAGATGTGGTACATATACACAATAGAATATTACCCAGCAATTTAAAAAGATAAACTTGTGTCTTTTGCAGCAACATGGATGGACTTGGAAGGGATCATGCTTGATGAAATAACCCAGAAAGAAAAAAAAATATCGGATGGCTTCTCTCACAGCAGGAATATAACAGAACAGGCGAGAATATAATGATAATGAGGAACAGCTATATACCAGAGACATTTTGTGGAGGTGGAATGGGGAATGGTTTGATAAAAAACAGTGCGGAGAGGGAAATGCACTGGACTATGGTGATGGTACACGGGTGATTTGGTGATAAGAAGCCCATGGGGATTACAGCTGAGATGGAAAAATGCACAAAATGATGTAAAAATACACATATTATTTTTTTAAAAAAAGATTTATTTCTTTATGCTTACTGAACTGGGGTACAGGCAAGAGGTGTGGTAGGTGACAGGATTCACCAGAGACAGAGTGGGGAGTAGAACTCTTTTTTTAAAATTTATTTATTTATGCATATGGAACTGGGGTACAGGCCAGAGGTACAGGGGTGGTGAGAGGCTTCACCAAAGACAGAGTGGGGAGCAGAACAGGCAGATCAAAGAAGTACACTGCTGAGGGGAGCAGTGGGCAAGACAGAAGAGGTCTGCTGTGCCATGTGGATCACCTCCTGGGCCAGGGATCAAATTTGCACTGAAGCAGCAGCTGCTGCTAGCTTGCAATGCTGAGTCCTAACCTGATGCACGGAAAGGGCAAGCCTGTTTTAGTTTTGTATCTCCATAAATTTTACATTTCTCTGGACAGAAGCCAGTTTGGAGTTTTGTTCACAAGTGTGGACCAGGTGATATTTTCATTTTGTTTAGAATATACATCTTTTGAAATATGTTTTAGGGTACTTCAGGATTTTAATATTACTTTATATGAGTCCTTAACTGACACTGGTATTATCTGAATTGTATGTGTATATATACCTATATGGATATATGTATATACACAGGTACACATATATGATGCCACATGCTGACAATGAAGTAACAAATTATATTCCTAAATTAGTGTGGTAAAGATAATTAATCATTGTCACATTGTCTTTTTAGACACGCTTTGTATTAAATTTTCATTATCACTGTTCTATAGCCGATTAAGGTGTAAGAATAGTCTAAATGTATAAGGGATGAGCAAATACATATAAAAAAAAAAGTTGAGAGCCTCCCTGGTTGTGCAAGGGGTTAAGTCTTAGCACTATGAAACTACTGACAGCCACTGCTCATGAGTTCAATCACCAGCCAGAGAGGTGATCCACATGGCACAGCAGACCTCTCCTGTCCCTCCTGCGGCGCCCATCAGCAATGTATTACAGTCAATCTGCTTGTTTTGCTTCCTAATGTCTCTGGTAAATGATGTTACTCCACCCCACACCTCTGGCCTGTACCCCAGTTCTTGTATGCATAAATAAATAAATCTTTAGAAAATAAAAGTTGAGTTTCATTGGACCTTCTACTTGCCCTAAAGAACCAACTCTTAGCTTGACTTGACAAACATCATCAGTTGAAGGTAAAACGCTTTTTCAGGAAAAAAAAAACATAACAATAAAACCTATTTTTCATAATTGCTAAGTTTCAGTGAAACATCAAAACACAATTTCTAAAGATAACCCAATCAAACAACAAGCGAAACAGCTTCTTACCAGATACTTCATCCTTTTTCTTCTTCTTTGGCTTAGAAGCAGTAGGTTCACAAGCTGATACTGTTGACTCTGAATGACAACCTAACTGGGGCACAATAATCTCTTTCAGACCTAAAATATAATAGAGATCTCAATTATTAATACTTTAAAAGAATAAACATGGGCCCCTACATGAGAAAATTTTATTTGTAGAAATCAAAATTCCCAGAACAAATTAGGGAGTGAATGTCTGTTTTAAGTTTCCCCAGAATATGTACTAGTTCACAAACTATTAATGATAGAAGATAGAAAAATGTGAAACTAAAAATTTCAAAGCTGCTGCCAATTAAAGATCATTATGAAGGCAAAAAAGCATCTACCAGAGAAAAAAGCATTTATGACAATAACAAAATACTCAATGTCTTTTTAGCAAGGTACTAATCTTCCTCATCATCAAAGAGAAGAAAAACAGAAGCAAAACAACATAAAAGTGATTTGTTTGTTGCTGGTTATTATTATTATTATTATTATTATTATTAATATAGAGCATCTTTTGAAGATAAAAAAAATTGAAGCGAAGCTAATTTTGATAGATCCATTGTCTCAATGAAAATGGGTAAGTCTCTTGATCATTAATTTGTACCAACCAACCAACCTTTATGCAAGTGTGCTGACTGGGATTAAAAGAAGGAATGCTTTTCATTGGAATTATCTAGCAACTGCTTCTGAAGGTTGCTAGAACAATCTCCAAATGCCATCAGCAGAACTCTTTTCATTGCCATTTTAGAAAAAGAGAATAACTGTGTCAACCATACACCTACCGCTGGAATCAAAATTTAGGAAGTCTGAGAATTCCTGAGCCAATGTCTCGTCACTGGCAAAGGCACAGATGCAAGCAAAGAAATGAATGCATCTCTGGACTGCCTCATCATTGGAGGCATTCGACTTGTGCGATTTCAGAGTCTGACAGGAGCAGAAGAAACGGCGCTCAGGCAAACTTTTGGCACTGATTTTCTGCACAAAGGATGTATGTAAATATCCCAAACTATGCTTCTGGCTTGCCTTGCACTTCACCACCAAAATGTTTTTAGTGATCCTCTGTACCAGGGGACCTGTGGGTTCTGTGGCCAGTTGCCAGATGGTTTGCTTAGTTTCAGGGGAGGCCTGCATTGCATTCAGGACTGAGCTCTTTAAGGTGAGAGGGGTGGCCTCTGCCTGGCAGTTCACTGCCAGTTTGATGTGCTGGCACTGGTTTTCCACGACACCCTGGGAGGCTGCTTTCAGGCATGAGGGGACGTAACATCTTCCGGAGCTCAGCTGAGTAATGATTGTCCCATCCACTGTCTGGATTGTCGTCTCTGAAACACCTAGCTCCACAAAGCATCGGTAATCAGGGCCCCGGTCTCTTTGTCTCACTGAGTAGACCTGCAAGTCAGAGCCTGTGATGATTTTGACAGCTTCAACACTAGGCTGCTTCCGTGCACCATAGCGGAATATGGTTCCACATGTCTTGTTCTTACAGCTAAGTCCCCGGGTTCCATTGTATGTGCCACATCGGGGACACTTTCTGATTCCCCTCAATGTGGCTTTCCCCAGATCAGACAAGAAAGCTGGAACTTTAGTCCTCAAAGAGTTTGGTTCCATTTTTCACAGGCCCTAGAAAAGGTAATAAGTCGATCAGTTTGCATGTATATTCACTCACACACACAGAGTTAAATCATTTATATTTAATACAGTAAGTGAAATGTAAAGAAGAGAGTCAGCATTTCTAAGTCATTTCCAACTAGAACATCGATTTAAACCCTCAAACAAAATGGAAGTGGAAAAAACTTTGCCTTTAGTATCTCTTTGTATTTTGAAAAATCCTAACAACGTATTTCTAAATTCAATCCTGTTATATACAACAACCTAAATTAGTTAACCTAGTCCTTCCATGCACAGATATTTAACTTGAGTGAGGACTAGTGCATGAGAAAGATCAGTTCTTTCCATTCTAGCATTTCCCACAAAACTCAATCTAATCCTACCTGTATCAGCTGTGACAGCATCTGGAAAACAGTGCAACCTCAATTTATAAGACCTAAAAGGTATCTCACTAATTTGTGATGATCACTGAGGACAGGCAAAGTAAATGATATTGCAGAGTAAATAATATTGCTTAACCCAATATCTTCTGAAGTCTGAATTCTATGGTGTAACAATATAAACATTCTGCTTCTTCCTTCTTGTCCAGCCAATGGCAATGCTCCTGCCCAATGTTCCACAGTTAAAGATTTCTGTTGCCTTAAGTGGAGATCTTGGCAGTCTATAAGTAAAATAAGAAAAGACAGTAAAGTTATACACAGGGACAATTCCTTTTTCTCCTTTTTCTTAGAATAGGAATCTAAGTCTTTTATAAATATTGAGAAGTATTTGACAAACTGTTATGGAAATGGTTAAGTGTTTTGTACATCCAATTGCAAGAAGGTTAAACAGTGTCATGAACACCTAAAGCCATGGTAAAGAACTGATTAAACACTCATCCTTCCTAATAGTAATTCATTATGTCTTTAAAGTATGTTAGACTTTTCAAAGAGCTTTCAGTCATTATTTCATTTGAAATTCACAATATTAACATCCAATTTGAGGTAAATAACAATTATACTTTGGATGAAAATAAAAAATTAAGTAATTTGCCTGAGATCACCCAGCAAAACCAGAATTGCAGTTTCCACTAACCCAAAGTATCTAAGTGTGTGAATCTTTGTTTTTAATACCTCCCATTATGAAATTTTTCAGACTTAAAAAAAATTATATGGTTTGTACAGTGAACCTCCATATTTTTACCATAATTCTACAATTAACAATCTTATTATATTTGCTTTATTATATATCTATCCATTCCTTTCCCTATATACAGCAATCCCTCTTCTATTTTGGTACATTTCAAAGTAAATTACAGGCATCAATTTCACATGCAGAGTATTAATTAAAGTTCAGTATTTTAAGTGTTTTTTTTTTTTTTAAAGATTTTTATTTTATTTATTTATACAGAACTGGGGTACAGGCCAGAGGCTCAGGGGCGGTGAGAGGCTTCACCAGAGACAGAGTGGGGAGCAGAACAGGCAGATTGACGAAGTACACTGCTGAGGGAAGCAGCGGGCGGGTCAGGAGAGGTCTGGCTCGCCATGTGGTCTCCTCCGGGGCAGGCGGCAGGTGGGAATCCAACTCATGCGGAAGTGGCTTCAGATTCTCAGTGCTGTGTTTTAACCCGCTGCGCCACCAGGGAGGGCCTTAAGTGTTTTTTTAAAAAAGATAATTTGTTTGTAATTTTATGTAGACTATTAGCAGTATTTCTGCCTTCAGACTCCAGGGGTAGTCTTAATTAAATATTTTCCTTCCACATCTTTTACAGTTCATTGATTAACAGACAGGCAAATACAAATAAAAACAATCAAATAATATCGACATTATGATGTACTTTGAACTTATCACCCAACTATAATATTTTTTGAGTGACTAAAGTTTTGTAAAATATATTTTCACCTCTGCACTACTGACATGAAGGACTAGAGAATTATTTTGTTGTCGAAAGTTGTCTATGCATCAGAGGATGTTAATAGTATTGCTGCTCTCTACCCACTATTGCCAGTAGTCTATCCTGCCTAACCAAGTTATTAAAAAAATGAAAATGGGGGCCTCCCTGGTGGCACTAGGGGTAAAGCCACAGTAGCTAAAGCTATCCACTGCTACTGCAGCATGAGCTCAATCCCAGCCAGGGAGGTGACCCCATGGCATAGCAGACCTCTCCTGTCTCACCTGCTGCTCCCCTCAGCAGTGTATTTCAGTCAATCTGCCTGTGTTCTCCACTTTGTCTCTGGTGAATCCCCTCACCCCATCCCACACCTCTGGCCTGTACTCCAGTTATTGTATACATAAATAAATAGATCTTTAAAAAAAAAAAAAGACAAATTTAGAGTGAATGACTTGCATTCAGAATGCAAGTGCCAAAGGGTTAATTTTCTTAGATGAATTTTTACAAATCAGTATGAAAAAGAAACAAACCCTCAAGGAAAATGGGAAAAAGCCATGGAAAGATACCTTATGAAAAAGAATAAAGATTTAAAATGTGTGGAGTGCCATCTCAGAATAAGTCATATTAAAACAAAGAATACTTTGGAAAAATGACAAAAAGATAAACATTATCACTGTGTTCATGAGCATGAAGAAAAATTGGCACTTACATCGTTAATGGGGCTAGAAACAGCAATATCATAAAACAAATATCATAAAACTAAAACAGACACTTTGAGCAATTTCACTTTGAAGATTTCCTGAGTTATGTTCTCATATGTACACAAAATATGAGGGGATACTCAACACAAGATTTTACATAACTGGACAAGAACAGAAATAGTCTTAAGAGCTGACTAAATAAGTTATCGTGTATACATACAATATGTTGTAATAAGTCTTAAAAAAAACACAGATCGGGCCCTCCCTGGTGGCGCAGCGGGTTAAAGCACTGCACTGAGAAACTAAAGCCACTTCCGCATGAGTTCGATTCCCGCCTGCCCCGGAGGTGA